CACAATGAGATCTCGCATCACCTGAAAATCTTCCTAGGGCAGCCTCTGGTTAGGCCCATAAAAAAGTTTTCTTTCCAGTTTGGCCCAGGGGCAAAAACTGTTGGCCACCCCTGCCTTAGAGGGTACAGTATATAATATAGGCTTTAGGCAAGTAGCATTCATGGTTCAGGATGTACAGCTGAGTTGCTATTATGTGAGCTCGGTCTGGATAAACCATTAATCCAGTAAGCCCAATTTAGAATTTAGAATTAAGCCCAGTGGAAAATTGGAGGAAAACTTGTAGTTCTTTTGTACATAATTTACAAGAAAAATCAGTGTCTATTAGATCTTATGTTTTACACAATCTTTAATGAATACACAGTTGTATATCTATAAAATTGAGTTCTGAAAGCATTTCTAACTCATTAAATTCAACTGTCTAACCCATTTCAGTATTCCTGTTCTGGTGATTTTGTTATGCTGTATAATGTTATAACATAACAAATGATATTACTTGTCACATCAAGCATTAATGAGGCATTTATTTAAATATTGTATTTTCATGCAGATAATCCACATAAATCTTCAGGAATATTAGTAGAATAAAAATAAGACCTTCACATAATCTGCACCACTATATATCCCACTCAGCATGGTGTGTGTACATGTATATATTATCAATAATCATCAACTCAAAAACCCAATTTATAGTTAAAAACCAAACAAATTGCCAACTTATTCGGCTATAATAGTTATAAAATTATTTAATATTTAATTACATAGCCAAGTTATAACCCAATAATTCAGCAGTTCATTTGGCTATATACTCTACTCTTTTGGAGCAGCTGTTTAAAATGATACTTACCACTATACATTTTAGAGAACACAATCTTTAACCACTCAACAGTGAGGGGCGGATATACCCGTCCAGGGCGAGTGTGGCAGTGGTGAGGGACAGATATATCCGTTAAATTCTTTTGGGGGTATCGCAAAACAGCCAAAACCTACTGCAAAAAAAAATTTCACATAAAAATGAATTATGTAACAATAAAAAAAACTTTTCTTTACTAGACATAACTGTTTACAAAATCTTTTTCTGAAACAGTAATGAGAAAAAACGCATGGAAAAATACTTTAAAAATTTCCCAGATTTATTCTCCAGTACTTTGGAGTAGCACCATACCTGACTTTCCCACTGCTGAAAGGTTAAACATTAAAATGTTTTTTTTTTTTAGTATTCTGCTGTTGATGTAATTATAAAATATATAAATCAGAAAAACAGAATACTGAGACAAACTACTAAACTTCCTTAGTAAGAAAATATGAAATGGCTGCCTAAAAACTAAATTTTTTTAAAGTTTCTCTTCATTTATACTGTATTTAGTAAATAATTTTGTTATTATAATTATTGCAGTAAAACCTGTCCAAATGGAACCTGAGTAAAACAGAAATCTGCCTAAATAGAAAAAAGTTCTTTAGAACATAGCTATTTTTTCTGTATTAAATTATGCTAAAAGCTGGAAATTAGACCAATGACAAAATGGAAGAAGTTTTTGGGTATGAAGAACATAAATTACCCCGGATGAAGTAGAAAATTAAAATTCAATTTTTAGACAAATAAGTAAAATGTGTAATTACTAAAATCATCATTAAACACCTTTGGCTGCTGAGAACCTATGTATTAGGCTCAAAACATTAGTGTATAAGCAAATAAATGTGTCTCAGCAGCCAAAAGTGTTTAATGATTTTAGTAATTATTCTTTCTACTTTCAATTTGTCATTTGGAGTAGTTAGTAACTAACTAGTACAGAGTATTCAAAAACAAGTTGAGTAACATGTTGATAATTACAGAGATTGATGTAAGTGATTAGAGTATTAAAATTTCTTGAGAAGTTAGATCACAAAATAACAGTCTTTGTATTACAGTAATGTGATTAGAATTTTTGACAGTAGAGCAAGACACTAGTTTTTACAACTTGAAAAATTTGTTTGTTGTCATATGAGTAGATAAGGACACATCCAAGTTTTGGGAACAAGAAAAACTTTTTATAGTCAAGTTCGAATACTCTCATCTTAGTTGGAATAATTAGATTAATTTGGATTAGGCCCAGTAATAGAAATTTTTACATATATAACAGTCATTTTACTACATACATGGAATGTACCTATGTGGCATTTATCTGGTATTGTTTATTGATAAAAAAATATTAAAACCTGTTAAAAATAAACCTGCCAAATAGAAAAATATTCCGTACTATATGATTTCAGTTTAACAAAGGTTTTACTGTATTATTATATATTTTATTGATATAGTAATACAGCAGAGCATCGATTATCCAAATCAATTGAGGACTGGGGTTATTTGGATAACCGATTATGTACGAAAAAATATATTAACCTATCCCATGTTGAAATTTGTTCAAATCCTGGCACGTCCTTAAGTACCCTCTCATGGTCGTGCCAGTGCTGCCAGCTAAAACATGCACACCAACAAAAATAACATTGGAGTAGCCCAAGACATAGCCAAAGATTGCAGCACCACAGCACTAGCGGAAATTTATATTTGCCGACTGGAAAGCTTTCGGTTAACTCATGTTTTGGTTGATCGACATTCAGATAATCAATGCTCTACTGCAGTTATAAATTAAAAAATAAACTATGAAAAAAATTACATAGAAAATTATTTTGATGACCATAACATCCAACAATACAGATATGAGAGCTCTGTACCAATTAAACAAGGTATGATTCACTAAAGAAATCATACCTTGTTTAATGAAAAATGTTCTTCCTTACATTATAGATATTTGTTGAACTGTAATGGCTACACCATCCAATAGAATGCTAAAAATCTGTTTCATTCATCCAGTTACTTTTAGAAAACATTATTCAAAGATATACTGTATTTACTCTCATATAGGACAAGGTGTGACTTTAAAGATCAAAATACAGAAAATTAGATTTATTAATACAATTCTAATTTTATTTTGTTTAATCACAAGTAAAATATCAAATGAGCGTAAATGCACACATTGTCCCACAAAAATTTACTTGCGTTTTAATTAATTAAACTTTAAGAAAAAATCTTGTAAAATCGACAACATAATTTGTTCATGTAAAGCTGGACAATCGGGAGCCTTATTTTTGCCGATTATTAACAGTTGAATCCACTCTCCATCAATTACACTTACTCCGAATTCGGATTTCTAAATAATCATCTGTTTTCACACAGGAATGCATTAAAACTTATATCGTGCTCCCATGTGATTGTGGAATTTCAATCTGGAATTCAATTCAAAAGCTTTGCTTTTCCTATTGCTACTCATCTTTACTCCTGACAATATACAATAACAATTGAAACAACCCAGATAAAATACTTTTGTTTTTAAATACAAGAGGGTAAGCATCCAGTAAAAAATGCAAATACATGGTTTACAAAACTTATTTGCAAAAACACAAAGAATTTTTCGCTCACGCGTATAGGATGACCCAGGAATTTGAAGCTGTGATAAATGAATAAAATCCTTGTCTGATATGCGAGTAAATACGGTACGTTACTATTGTCTTCTAAACCGTTGTTTTTCTGTAAAAACTTTTTATAAATGCTTAATTTAACAGAATACATTTAAAATTAATAAATTTATTAAAATAATTAAAAAACAACTTTTCAAAATATTAAATAGGCATATAAGCTTCAATTTTAAATGAGCAGCCAATCTTGTAATTTGGCCAAAAAACAAATTACATTTGAAAAGATATAATTTATTACATTTAAAACTATTCCATTGTTATTTAAAATCAATTTTCCAAGAGATTCAATTATTTTTCTGAATCCATTTTGTCTGTCAAACCTTTAAATCAGTGTGGATGCCATAATAAATTAGTCTAATGGTATATTAATGTACTGGTGTTTAAAAAATTAAAATAAAACTATTAAAATTTAATTATAATTTAACATGTAATTCAACATTTTTTCAATTTTTATGCTGATAATTTTGATTATCGTAATAAAAAAAAAGTATTTTCAATTCCCATAAAATCACTTTTCAATATATTCAAATCTGATTTCATGATGAATTACTTATTTAAATAAGTAAAATAAAACTTTTTTTTCCACTTTTAAACTATACTGTTTTAAAGATGTAACTTATATAAGATATCTTTATTTTGTTTTATAATATAATTATATATAAAATACCTTTATTTAAATTTTTTATTTAAAAATTTTTCATTAAAACTAAATCTTTAAAAACTTATTGGAAAATATTTTCCATTAAAAACAACTAGATATATTATAGTAAATACAGTAGAAATCAGCATTTTTTTCTTTAGATGTATATACAATGGGCACAATGCCCAATAAAGGCAATATAATGACAATTCTGGAGGTTACCTATAGATAAAAGGCTACTCAGCTTTGTCATTATATAATTTTTTAATCACATTTATGAATATTTTTAATGTTAGTTTTATTATTATTATTATTATTATTTTAAAGAATTTTCAAAGTAATTGTGACATGCCATACTGCCATATTATGTTATTTGTAAAATCAAGATCATTCACACTTTTTCAGCAAATGGGTTTAAAATAAGCAAGTAAGCTTATACAAACATTTTCAGTTTATTTTATGTATAAAAACCTTCCTCAGGTTACAAACTACAAAATTCCAAAATGGAATGTTTCAAACATTCAATGACATTATTTATAAAATTTTTAAAATATTATAACTTTGTACAGAAAGACATATTTGCTGGACAAGTGTAAATGGAATTGATTTTGCATTGTCTATTCCAGTTTTGATTTTGGATTTTGTGTTTTTTGACAATCCAAATTAATTATGACAAAGGTTATTCAGATAATCAAAAATAAGGATAAATGGATTAATGAAAAAATATTCTTACCCACAAAAACTCTATTACAGTGTATTAACTTCGAAATAAAGGTTAAACCATTTTGTTTTCTAGAGTAAATATTCTAAAAGTAATGAACAATAACAACAATTTTATACATATCACCTTTTTTTTTTTATCAAAATTAATATGAAAATATAAAGACTACATTAAAATATATTTTGTCTAATGATATATATATTATACTTAAAGATAATAGAAAAAATATAAAACACTAGTTGAATTAGACAAAACAATGCACAATATGCAGTAATAACAAAAGACTTCAAACTTAATTGGTTAAATGTAGCAATTAAAATATTACAATAAAACTTCTTTCATATACCATTTTGATTATCTCATCTTATCTAATCATTATTAGCATGTGCCAACTGTCTGTAACATCATACATTAAATAAACATAGGCTGCTGTTACTATTATCATTATTTTGATCATTATTTTAGTCACTAGTTCTTAATCGCTTTTAAGCAATGAAGAACTATATGAAATTAAAGAAAATTAAATTAACAATGATGAAAAACCACAATTAATCACAATGAAACTAAAATTCTGCTGTCAAATGCACATCTAATATTTTAAAATACAGGTAGTAGTAAAGGTAACAAAACTGGTATATTTGCATTTAAATTCTCAACATTGCTTCTGTGAGGGATTCTCAACATTCTAGGAATGTGCTGAAACAAAATCACACTACTGATTATTTAACAAATTTATACCAGAATGTGTGTTTGAAGTTATGTTTTATTTGTTTTACTTTGCACTGTTGGAAATGCCTATCTTTAATGTTGTATAAATAACTTTTAGAAAATTTCCATTATCTGTTTTTTCATTTACCTTATCCTAGCTTTGAAGTTGTTGAATAATATAGGTTTTACTGTATCTATTTCATAAACTAATTTCTTAAATATATTACAATATTAATACTTAAACTCAAAATAATTTTCAGAAGTATCATATAATTTTTAAAGATGACTTTAAACTAAATTCAGAAAATGATACCAATGCAAACACTTCAAGGTATAAAGAAGTTCAAAGTAAATAAAATCGTACTCTAAATACTTTCAGAACTAGTGTGTGTGTTCTAGGATCTTTATGATTAAGAAGTTGACTATGTCTACATAGATATTCAAACTTCAATACTTTATAGCAGCATTTCTCAAACTTTTACTCGCCTGACCCAATATATTTGTTTGTAATGGTTCCATGATCCAAATGTTCATAATCTAAATTTTTTTTAAAAACCTGGTAAACTGGAGTCACTGGATATTATATAACAAAATAAGATTATGCATTATTGATAAAAATATTCTTTAAAAATTATTTATTGATCCACCTGTGCCAAAATCCATCCATTATTATTTTTTTTAATAATTTATTGTTATGTATGACAATAAATCTAAAAGTTTGAATAAACAAGAAAATATTTTCAAAACCATTGCAACTTAAATGACTTTATGACTACAACTTTACATAAAATATCTATTTTGATGTTACTCAAAATAAAAAAGCAAAATCAATTTCATATACACACATTCTATAATTTTAATTTTATTACTAAATGACAATAATAATTATAAGAAAAAAGTTGTTAAAAAATATGCAGTACTTAACAGATGTATTTACTGTTCCTAATTCTTAGAGACTGTTTCAATAATACAAATATTACTACATTCTGCAGAAATACTTGTATCATTTTGCAACCCATAGTTTGAGAAACACTGCTTTATAGAATATACATCAAAAACTAAACTTTAAATTCTAAATGGCCAATACCATTAGACATATTTCTAAAACTTCAAATTCATGTTAAAAATATATATTTCACACTTGTTGGACACTGGCATCTTTTCGTTCACTGAATTTAAAATCAGTCACAAACCTCAGATTTAAACAACAATTCTTTTATTGTTACTGTTTTTTGTTTTTTAGCAAAGCAAAAAATTGATGAAACAATAAAATAATTGTTTTAAGTCCAAGACTGGCTTAAAATTTTATAAATAAGAATAATCTAAGCATCACAAAAATGTATTAATTTGACCTAACTGTTGACTATGATTCACTTAAGATAAATATTAGATTTTTTGTATTTTTGTGTACTTTTTAAATAGAAATTAAAAATTTTTAAAGAAATTTTGAAGATTTGAAGTAATTAGCAGCTTTACTTATTTTTTTAAATCTACCATAATAATTCTAGGATTATAACTCCTCATTAGTTTAAAATATTCTAGACTTTATAAATTATAATTGAAAAATACTTAAATAAATATTAAATCATATAAAATTTATATTAAATAAGTTAGATTAAAACAAAACCTTTCAAAATACTTATTAGCATTCCAAAATTTCAGTTATCATCAATCATTAACTTTTCACTGTAATGTTAACCTAAGTACTTTGAAAGAACAAAATTAAATAGCATTCTTTTTTAAATCTCCAAATAAAATCACTGATTAATTCCTTAAATAATTTCATTTTAATTTATATTGTTCAAAGATTCCTAACTTATCAGGATACCTCATAAGTAATATTAAAAACATTTCTTAACACATGGTATGATTTCAAATATAAAAATTTTGTAACAAAAATCTTACCCCACACAAATCTTTTAATAATATATTTTGAAGAACAAGCTTTTCTCAAATGTTCATTTTTTAATCATTATTCAACATGCTTGAAAATTTAAAAATTTTATATCTCTCAGTTTAAAATGCATTCTAGAGAAATTAGTTCTCTAGATAAACATTATATTAGCATAGTAGATGAAATGTTAAAGTATATATTAGGTTTAAATTTTTGAAAAATTTCAACAGTTTTCCAGATCAAAATTTAAACTTGGTACCTTTTTGAATACCAAGTACAATGCTCTATAAATGATCTAATGGAATATTTAGAAATATTTTTTGGAATTTTAAATTTTAGGAATAGCTGTTCAATTAGTTTCCAATTAGTAACTGATATAATAACAATATTTACAATTAATCTGAATTTTACATTGATTCAACAATATGCAGCATTACAACAACTGATAAAACTTTTTTGTTGTTATCTATAAATACTAGGCTTAAATTCCTACCTTGCAAATTGTTTATAAATTTTATTCTTATATTTGATATCACCTTGAAGAATATTTTTGTGATCATTATTATGTTACATTGCGCTTTAATTCATTTTAATCACAATGGCCATTTATCAAATATTAGAACTTAATATGCAACAAATTCTGCTAGGCACTTCAATTCATAAGTTTAAACTTTAAAACTCCAAAATATATTCCTTTGCCAAATAGCATATGATAGGATGTTTGGGCTTATTATCCAAAGATACCAATTTTGAATCTTGTTCTGTTATAACTTTTCAAATTTTTCAAAAAAATTATAACTTCAGTAATTAGATATCAACCATAGATATTTTTTGTGCAATATTATTACAACATCTTTGATATTTCATCAGTTATTTTTCTCAATTCACATAATTCAATATAAAATTTTGTTTGATTCAATCTCATAAACTTTTTCTGTAACCAACATCAATTAGTTTTTTCAAACATCAACTTTTGTAAAAATTTGAATTCAATTATAGTATTTAGCGTAAAGGCTATATAACTTCAAAAAGCAACATTACAAGATTTTGTACAATTTGTTTAAGAGTCCTATATGAATATTGAATAATCTATCATATTTGAAACAACAAAAATATCACAACAATGTATTGTCAATCTCATTGAGCATTATCATTCTTTTCTTGAAATATTTGCTTAGCTGAAAATTCTAATTTCAATATGTAATTGTATATTACCTGAAATTTATATTATCATCTATTACATCAATTATCACTAACCAAATCTAAAACATGTCTATATTTTATTACTATAAATAAGATATTAAAAGTAACCTGGATGTTCCATAATACCATAATATTGCCCATTGTACACTACACCTATTTCTTGAAGAACATCGCCACGAATTGTTGCTTTGATGGTCCAATTATGAACATCAGAACTTTCCTGTTCTCTTTCTAAATGATCAACATCTATTATCTTAGAGCTTAACTGATCTAAAATTATTCCAATATCAACTAGATTTAAATGACGATTTCTCTCTAGAGACAATTGATCAACAAGGAGTAAATATCTTTCAGAAAGCTGCTCGTCTTCCACATTAGAATTTTCATTACCCTCCTCTTTATTTTCTTTGGGTATATTGATTAATGTGACTTGATTTTTCGAAAAGTCTCTCTTTTGGATTGCAATACATTCCTTTCTTGGCACTTCGGTTCCCTCGGGAATTGGAGAGGTAGCTGCCGATCTATTTATTTGTATTTTAGCACCATCGTGTAAACCGGAACAATGAAAGTCACAATCTAAATGATCGTTTTGATTCGGACTTTCAGACTGTTCCTCATCACCTGGTTGATTTTCGTTGATTACTATTGTTGGTCTAGAAGCAATGCCATCAAAACTAACTTTAGAAAATTTTCTAGCCTCAGATCTCTCTCTTACATTGGCTTCATTCTGACTATCTTTTGATACAACCTCAACCTTCCATGAAGAATCTGAAGTAATGATAGTTGGTTCAGGCTCCGATGACTTTTGAATATCCTTCTGATCCCAATGGAGTACAACTGTAACTCTTCCTCTGTTATCCATTATTTTCCACGATGGTTCTTTATCAACTAACTCCATACTATTAATAGCATTATACACAATGCGTGGAATGGCTGCAATAGCTAAAGATGTAACAAACCTTATTCAGAATCAAAACACCAAGATTTATTTATAACATAGTTTTTTTAAGTTAATAATGCATAAAAATTAATTTCTTTTTATTTGATTATTAACTTACAGAAAATGGTTTGCAGCTAACATATAAACAGATAAAGATGACATCATCAACAACAGAAGAGCCAATTTACCTCAGATCAAGAGATATAAAAATCTAAAAAATAAAATTGCTACTATTATTAAATCAAAAATAGAAAAATCAAATTAAAAAAAAAATTATAACTGTTGTATAAACTTAAAAATTAACATAATTTCTTTAATAAGAAAAATTATAAGATAAACATGCAGAAGTTCAGAAGATTAACTAAGGATAACCAGAAAACTTTACAGAAATTGCTTTCGATAATGAACAATCGATACTTTTCTTACCATAATGTTTGCAATTTTGGTACAAACAGCAAGTTTTAAATTATTAAAATACTGAATGACTATTTTATTATTCTTGAAATGGGATGAAATTTTCAAAATACACAGAGAATAATTTACTTAAAACATTAAGTGAAATTCACACCTATAATATTAACAGAATTTCCATTGTTAAGAAATAAATTTCTAATTTTTAAAACTACCACCTTGCTGNACTTTTGGAATACATGGTAAATTAAACGTTTCATCATGGTATTTATATGCGAAATTATACCCCGACTTACGCGAATTTGACTTACACGGTTATCTATCTACCTATCGCGTAAGTTCAGGGTATTACTGTATAGAAAGACAATATGATGGCAAAGTTCCTTCTGTCATACTCCAAATTGCCAAATGGTAAAACAGAATTCAAATTTTGTAGTCAAGAGTGACTTACTTTGGAGAGTGACTTATGTTTTTAGATTGTAAATTTTTACTAAAATTAAAAAGTTATGTAGCAATCATACATGACATCTTCGTAGAACTACTTGCAAATTATCTTTTGTTCCCACTCTTCCTTGTTGGCAATTAATATTGCTGTGGACAGATTTAGGCACAGACTAAACATACATCTAGTTAAGAAATGTTCTGTATGTTCTATGGGCTGCAATTATGCCTATCCTTTGTTTTGTGTGATAGATATATTCCAAAGAATGCCACATAAAATACAGTACATACATCCTGTAAAAATAGCTTGATAGAATCCACAATTTCAATGCAACAAAAAAATAAGCAATTATAGCAATTAAGCAATTTTACAAAAGAAAAATGAGCTTTTTTATTATAACATCATTTATCATTAACATTTGTATATAAATTGTATATTGAATAAATTGTATATTAACATTTGTATATAAATATAGGAAACACAAAATCAATGTACAGTAGACCCCCCTATAACGCGGGTTCCTATAACATGGCAAAAAAATTGCAACAGTGTTCATATAAAGACGCTAAAAGGGACTCGTAAAATGTCATCATCGACTCATGTCGCGACAGAATTGGTCGAATCTGGACCAATAGTAGACGAGCAGCCGAACTACTTACACGCTACAGAGAGTTTAGGTGAGTAAGTTGAGTTTACTATCATCTGTACAGTATTATATATAAATTACGTACTGTATATATAATTANTACTAAATGACAATAATAATTATAAGAAAAAAGTTGTTAAAAAATATGCAGTACTTAACAGATGTATTTACTGTTCCTAATTCTTAGAGACTGTTTCAATAATACAAATATTACTACATTCTGCAGAAATACTTGTATCATTTTGCAACCCATAGTTTGAGAAACACTGCTTTATAGAATATACATCAAAAACTAAACTTTAAATTCTAAATGGCCAATACCATTAGACATATTTCTAAAACTTCAAATTCATGTTAAAAATATATATTTCACACTTGTTGGACACTGGCATCTTTTCGTTCACTGAATTTAAAATCAGTCACAAACCTCAGATTTAAACAACAATTCTTTTATTGTTACTGTTTTTTGTTTTTTAGCAAAGCAAAAAATTGATGAAACAATAAAATAATTGTTTTAAGTCCAAGACTGGCTTAAAATTTTATAAATAAGAATAATCTAAGCATCACAAAAATGTATTAATTTGACCTAACTGTTGACTATGATTCACTTAAGATAAATATTAGATTTTTTGTATTTTTGTGTACTTTTTAAATAGAAATTAAAAATTTTTAAAGAAATTTTGAAGATTTGAAGTAATTAGCAGCTTTACTTATTTTTTTAAATCTACCATAATAATTCTAGGATTATAACTCCTCATTAGTTTAAAATATTCTAGACTTTATAAATTATAATTGAAAAATACTTAAATAAATATTAAATCATATAAAATTTATATTAAATAAGTTAGATTAAAACAAAACCTTTCAAAATACTTATTAGCATTCCAAAATTTCAGTTATCATCAATCATTAACTTTTCACTGTAATGATAACCTAAGTACTTTGAAAGAACAAAATTAAATAGCATTCTTTTTTAAATCTCCAAATAAAATCACTGATTAATTCCTTAAATAATTTCATTTTAATTTATATTGTTCAAAGATTCCTAACTTATCAGGATACCTCATAAGTAATATTAAAAACATTTCTTAACACATGGTATGATTTCAAATATAAAAATTTTGTAACAAAAATCTTACCCCACACAAATCTTTTAATAATATATTTTGAAGAACAAGCTTTTCTCAAATGTTCATTTTTTAATCATTATTCAACATGCTTGAAAATTTAAAAATTTTATATCTCTCAGTTTAAAATGCATTCTAGAGAAATTAGTTCTCTAGATAAACATTATATTAGCATAGTAGATGAAATGTTAAAGTATATATTAGGTTTAAATTTTTGAAAAATTTCAACAGTTTTCCAGATCAAAATTTAAACTTGGTACCTTTTTGAATACCAAGTACAATGCTCTATAAATGATCTAATGGAATATTTAGAAATATTTTTTGGAATTTTAAATTTTAGGAATAGCTGTTCAATTAGTTTCCAATTAGTAACTGATATAATAACAATATTTACAATTAATCTGAATTTTACATTGATTCAACAATATGCAGCATTACAACAACTGATAAAACTTTTTTGTTGTTATCTATAAATACTAGGCTTAAATTCCTACCTTGCAAATTGTTTATAAATTTTATTCTTATATTTGATATCACCTTGAAGAATATTTTTGTGATCATTATTATGTTACATTGCGCTTTAATTCATTTTAATCACAATGGCCATTTATCAAATATTAGAACTTAATATGCAACAAATTCTGCTAGGCACTTCAATTCATAAGTTTAAACTTTAAAACTCCAAAATATATTCCTTTGCCAAATAGCATATGATAGGATGTTTGGGCTTATTATCCAAAGATACCAATTTTGAATCTTGTTCTGTTATAACTTTTCAAATTTTTCAAAAAAATTATAACTTCAGTAATTAGATATCAACCATAGATATTTTTTTGTGCAATATTATTACAACATCTTTGATATTTCATCAGTTATTTTTCTCAATTCACATAATTCAATATAAAATTTTGTTTGATTCAATCTCATAAACTTTTTCTGTAACCAACATCAATTAGTTTTTTCAAACATCAACTTTTGTAAAAATTTGAATTCAATTATAGTATTTAGCGTAAAGGCTATATAACTTCAAAAAGCAACATTACAAGATTTTGTACAATTTGTTTAAGAGTCCTATATGAATATTGAATAATCTATCATATTTGAAACAACAAAAATATCACAACAATGTATTGTCAATCTCATTGAGCATTATCATTCTTTTCTTGAAATATTTGCTTAGCTGAAAATTCTAATTTCAATATGTAATTGTATATTACCTGAAATTTATATTATCATCTATTACATCAATTATCACTAACCAAATCTAAAACATGTCTATATTTTATTACTATAAATAAGATATTAAAAGTAACCTGGATGTTCCATAATACCATAATATTGCCCATTGTACACTACACCTATTTCTTGAAGAACATCGCCACGAATTGTTGCTTTGATGGTCCAATTATGAACATCAGAACTTTCCTGTTCTCTTTCTAAATGATCAACATCTATTATCTTAGAGCTTAACTGATCTAAAATTATTCCAATATCAACTAGATTTAAATGACGATTTCTCTCTAGAGACAATTGATCAACAAGGAGTAAATATCTTTCAGAAAGCTGCTCGTCTTCCACATTAGAATTTTCATTACCCTCCTCTTTATTTTCTTTGGGTATATTGATTAATGTGACTTGATTTTTCGAAAAGTCTCTCTTTTGGATTGCAATACATTCCTTTCTTGGCACTTCGGTTCCCTCGGGAATTGGAGAGGTAGCTGCCGATCTATTTATTTGTATTTTAGCACCATCGTGTAAACCGGAACAATGAAAGTCACAATCTAAATGATCGTTTTGATTCGGACTTTCAGACTGTTCCTCATCACCTGGTTGATTTTCGTTGATTACTATTGTTGGTCTAGAAGCAATGCCATCAAAACTAACTTTAGAAAATTTTCTAGCCTCAGATCTCTCTCTTACATTGGCTTCATTCTGACTATCTTTTGATACAACCTCAACCTTCCATGAAGAATCTGAAGTAATGATAGTTGGTTCAGGCTCCGATGACTTTTGAATATCCTTCTGATCCCAATGGAGTACAACTGTAACTCTTCCTCTGTTATCCATTATTTTCCACGATGGTTCTTTATCAACTAACTCCATACTATTAATAGCATTATACACAATGCGTGGAATGGCTGCAATAGCTAAAGATGTAACAAACCTTATTCAGAATCAAAACACCAAGATTTATTTATAACATAGTTTTTTTAAGTTAATAATGCATAAAAATTAATTTCTTTTTATTTGATTATTAACTTACAGAAAATGGTTTGCAGCTAACATATAAACAGATAAAGATGACATCATCAACAACAGAAGAGCCAATTTACCTCAGATCAAGAGATATAAAAATCTAAAAAATAAAATTGCTACTATTATTAAATCAAAAATAGAAAAATCAAATTAAAAAAAAAATTATAACTGTTGTATAAACTTAAAAATTAACATAATTTCTTTAATAAGAAAAATTATAAGATAAACATGCAGAAGTTCAGAAGATTAACTAAGGATAACCAGAAAACTTTACAGAAATTGCTTTCGATAATGAACAATCGATACTTTTCTTACCATAATGTTTGCAATTTTGGTACAAACAGCAAGTTTTAAATTATTAAAATACTGAATGACTATTTTATTATTCTTGAAATGGGATGAAATTTTCAAAATACACAGAGAATAATTTACTTAAAACATTAAGTGAAATTCACACCTATAATATTAACAGAATTTCCATTGTTAAGAAATAAATTTCTAATTTTTAAAACTACCACCTTGCTGAATGTACAGTTTTCTACCTCTGACTAAATCTTACAATTTTAACGATAGTGACAAACATTTAAATATATATATCTGCAGTGATTTGATTTCAATGCTGCCAACAGTTTTTTTTATTTTTCGCAAATGAAGGAATTTGATTTAATCTGTGTTAAGCAATAAATTAATTCACAAGATATTTGTTTTAATTCACCTGCTCTCAATGCTTCTACACCAGGAGGTAACCATGTTTCTTCCGGACAGAGCAGTTGTAATACTGTGTCACGTTCTACAACGTGAAGGTAGTTGTCATCTTCCACTTCTGTGCCATCACTTTCTATTACTACTTTCAAATCAGACCAAGTACTGTAACCTAATTTATCACCTCCTAAAAGTGAATAATTTTCATTAGAAAAGATTACTTTTATTTTTATATATATTGCATAAAAATAATTCTAATTAATATTACCTTTTTCTTTTAATTCTTTAAGTGAGGCGGCCATAACAGATTTTCGTTTTTGTCTATCTCCACTCCATATTTTATATGGACGTTTCTTATTTTCCTAAGAGAAAATCAAAATTTTTAGCTATATTAAAAATGAAATAAAAACATTTAAAATTAATTTGATATCCATATTTTTAATATTTATTGAAATAAACTAGGAAAACTTCTGGATATTGATGTTTCAATATGCAGAAGTCTCTGCAATACTGTGCATTATATTACTGCAGTCAGTAAGTTACTAAAGATTGTACAGTACATTAATACTTTACTGTCATGAAATTTTTTGAGCTCATTTCCTATAACATCTAACATCACATCCTTTGGATGTGATGTTAGATGTTATAGGAATGATATATATAGTTTTTATCTATGAGGATGATATATAGTTTTTATATATTTATATACATACTACAAACTAAAAACAGTATATAGTATGAAATAATTGTTAATTAGTATATTTAACATTATGGAAAAATGAGTCATTTTTAATTACTTTTTTAAAGTATACAATCTGGAAGTGTACAAATTTTAAAAATTGTTTGGAACTATTACTTTTTAACATCACTGAGGAGGGAATGAAAAGTATACATCATTTCAAAAGGCATATGTAAAAGTAAATTAAGCAAATAAAGTCACCATCAAGTGAAACTTTTAAATGTTAGATGTGATGTTTTGAAATTCTCAAACTCACCTGAAAGTTTACAGAGAAAAGAAAGTTTTTACACATATATTTCCAATGCTGATATAGTTTTTGATCAATACTTCACTAACATTTTGGCAATGTATATTTTTATTTCAATTGTAACAATTAAAATTTTTCAGATTTATATTATGATCAGAAACAGTTCTTTTGCAAATTTAATCAGCACTGAAGCTTAGAAGGAAAGTTAGCAATGATTATACAGTGGAACGTCATTTAACGAGCACCTTGCATAATGAGTTTTTCTCATAATGAGCAAAACAAATCATAAAAATTTGACTTGCTTAACAAGTGATGTTTTGCATAACAAGTGACAAAAAGAGGGGAAATCCTGGATTGTGCACATGCTCCATCAGTCTGTGTTTAGCATCTTAGTGTCGCTCATGATCACACATTTTTCCAAACTTGTGTTCACACATATTACATATAAATATCAACAATCATAGCCTGTTATTTAATTATAGCTTTTACATAGCCCAAGAATTTGGCACCTTCATCGGAATTATGGACCTTCATCTGTGATTTTTTTGTTTTCTGCAAATCAAATTCATATTCCAGGTTGGCTCATTCCGTGCTAGAAGAAAAGATGAAAATGATTCGTGCTTCTTAACGATGTATATTGTATAATTTTCTTTGAATAAACGTTATACATAAAATATTTAAGAATCTTTTTTGGCATGGAACGCATTTTACATTAATTTCTATTACTGTTCTGGAGAAAAACTGTTTTGCTTAACGAGTGTTTTGCATTACGAATAAGATTCTGAAACAAATTATGCTCATTAAGCAAGGTTTCACTGTACATAAATTGTATTGTATTAATCCACTATATATAATACAGTAATACCTCGACTTACGCTACCCTAACTTACGCGAACCTGGAGTTACGCGATTTTCAAATCTCGCTGATTTGTCTTTTGTTTGAGCGCCACGCAACTCTTGATTACTCGCTCCCCTCACATTATTGTTCAGCTTACATGTTCGGAAATGTCGCTCGGAATCAACGCATAGCTACAATTTATTTTGTGTTATTTATTTCCGTGTTTGTTTTATCTATGGAAACTTGACAGACTCTACTATGTCATCCAAACGAAGTAGAACTGATTCTTCTGCATCAAACAAGGAAAGAAAAACTTTATCTTTGGAATGTAAAGTTAACATTATTAAAGACTTCGATACAAAAATGAAAATTTGTGAATTGGCAAAGAAGTTTGATCTATCGGAATCGACGGTCAGAACAATTATAAAAGGTAAAGAAAAAATTCTCGACGCTGTGAAAAATGCTCAATCTTTAAATTCAAGCATCATTCATAAACATCACAGTATTATCGCTGAGATGGAAACAATGTTAAAATTTATGGTGTGATAAACAAGTAATTGTGAAAAATTGTATAATAATATAATATATTATACATATGTATTATCTAAGATTTTATTAAACATTTTTTTTCTAAATTATTGTTTTCTTTAGTCTCCGGC